CCTACTGTTGAATCCCACTCGAAGGCTAAATACCCTTGTCTGTGAAAACAATAGCCATCCTCGTTATCTTCAAACAGTCAAATCTGATCATCGCAGCTCAGCCAGAGGATACAGGGGTTCTTATTCTCCGTAGGGCCCTAGTGGTTTTTCTTTGGATCATTTGAGCCGTTGTTACTCTAAAATGTTGTTCATAAAATTATAGCAGCATCTTAATGCTCCCAATGGACAAAACCGCATACCTTTCTCTTTTATTTCCAATAAGGTAGAACAACACAAATGCATTCAAACACTTTCATAAATCGTTCCATCTCGAATGAATGAGAAGAAGAAGACGTAATCGCTGTGACAAGACTTTTGTCCACCTGAACTGTGGAAATACGTCGCGGATCTCTCATCAGAGATATTAGCAAAAACGGATACTTCATGCACAGGGAGTTGCAATATTTATTGCATTATTATTAACCTGTGAGCTACGGACTGGACGCAGGGAACGGTAACTTAAAAATACTAAAAAGCCTTAATATCTGTTACCGTTTTGGTTTCAAATGCGTTTTAGCTCCACAGTTATTAAGAAAAGCCCAGATGGTCTCCACCTTGTTATTCTGTGGCAGCTGTTGGTAATGAAACTACCCTATTCGGAATGTAGTGTACCACCACCCGTCATAAGCACAGATATTAGTAAACATCGAATGTCCCCCAACGCTGTTGCGACCACGTTACATCTCTTCCAGCCGCTTAAAAAGTATTCAAATGGATTCCAACGCCTGCTCCAGCAATATCTCCTAAAAACGCCAAGGGTTCCCTCCACGTTGTTTTTGCTGTTATGGCTAATGATGAGCGATACTGTAGCTAATTAACCATACACTCTTAATGACTCCGCGCTAACAGTACAGAGTAAATAAGTATTCTCAATAATCCGTCTGCAATCTAACTGTAATCAGTCATTGTATTTCAGTGGACTATCACAAACCACACATTCGTTTTTACCGATATGCCGTGTCATAACATTCGAAAATGAAAACATGTGTTTCAGGCTGACAAATAGGAAATATTTACCGGAAAGCAGAAATTAAAGAGAAGATTTTCACCTAGCGATATGAAACCTTTCGGTTATGAAGCTCTGGGGCGAAAAGCAAACACCGTCGGAATGTCCTGCTTGTCTAAAGCAGCAAAACAAATTATCGCAGAAACTGGGCCATACTGGTCAAAATTAAATTTTATTAATTGTCTTCCTATCGCAAGTATTCCTTCTAAACTCGCAAATTATCGCCTTTCGCCAATTGTGATCAGACACCACATATACTGAAGGTGCGTCATTGTGGAACTGGGTGGTTCCAAGTGGTTTATTTATAGATCATATAAGTGAACACTGACAGCCGTTTTAACGCAATATACGGCAGCACATGGACTCGGCAATGTATTGTTTACATTTCCGCTCTTCGGTTGCACACAAATTTGGCAAAGTGGGTGAAAATTCGGATGATAAGATAAGCACATTACTGAACACGAATGAAAGCGTTTGACGTTAAAAACATAGGTCCGCGCGCATAAACAAAATATGGTTGAGCTAGCTCCAAGTCTATCAGCAAAGGACAAATGCTGATGGACTTTTTTAATGTGCCACTTTATTCTAGGGCACAGAGGGGAATGAGCCTATCATCACCGTCTATGATAGCATATTTAGTTCCGGAGGCGACGCTTTTGTGGCAATTTCGCCATGCATGGGGAAGGGATAACTAAGAGTCTGATAAAAAGTCATATTAATCGTAAGTTAGCGGGTCCACATCGATGAAATAACTGAAGTTGTATTCCATGTAGATTCTTATCAGTAATGGCACGACTCGGGGTTGGAGAGGTTAGAAAGCGCTTGCCTAAGTAACAAGGCCGTAGCGATGAAAGATCACGAGTCTTCTCGCTAGTATCGCAGTCGCTGTATCGATCACCCCACCGCAGTTAACGTTTGACCTCGGCCGTCACTGCGCAGTGACCTCACACGCAACGTCGTTTAGGCCACAAACGCAAGTATAAAAGCTTCCTAAAACAAGCCGATACGAGAACCGGGAAACATGTTCATCCACGTTATCACTGCCATTGTGCTTCTCGCCTTTGTTCGCCTCGATTCCGCCGGTACGTTAAGGATTGACGGCCTTGACACCATTTTCCTGGTTGCTTTTGTTCGTTTCTTCTAAGAGTTTTCTCGTTCAGCTTAGTACGCGTCATATATATGTGTGTATTTATTATTTAGACGAAAACTGCAGAAAGGAAGGCGAAACATGCGACAAAACGATCTTTCAGCGCTGTTGTGACAACTTGATTTGCGATTTGGTTTCAATAGGAAATGGCAAGTGTGTAAAGTGTTTGGAGGAAGGACGCCTCTGCACGAAGGATTCAGAATGCTGCAGTGGAAGCTGTCAGTGGCTCAAATGTGTCGCCAAGGAACATTCTACGACGACCCAATCGACGAAGACACCTTAGAAGCCCGTATTTCCTAACTTGAATTCTGTTAACAATGCATACGCTCTTTACATATTTTCTTGCCTTCGTCAAATTCATCGCTATATTTTTTGAGGGGAGACGACAGACTGTTTCTTGCACTTAACTTTCTAAGTTTAAACGCCCAAACGGCAGTAAATTTCGTTGATTCCTTTGAGAAGCAGAAAAATATGTTTATTTTTACGCTAGCTGACGAGGAGTGATCCCTTAAAACTGGATGCTGCCAGTTTATCGATGAGAATCGTATTTGATTGTAATAATAATTGGTTGGGGCTACATGATACCGAGGCTGTGATTTTGAGAATTAGGAACGAAGTTTGTCACCCTTACAGGATCCACTAATTCGAAAGTCATGGCACGGTGTGGTGACAAGCAGCCAATGAGAAGACCTTTTATTACGAGGAGTTTGGCAGATTTGAATAATTCGACCGACCCAATTGCGAAAATGTCGTGGCCTTGGTGGGATTAAAAACCCCATGAGCTGGGAAGGGTTTAGTACAGCCAACGCTCTACCAATTGAACTGCGAAGGCACGCCCAGAGCCGTGAATTTAATCACTCTTGGGTTGGTTTACACGCCCAGCCTACTGCACGTATGAAGTCCACTAATCGGGATACAGTATGCTGACTGCCTAGGCAGGATTTCCTACGCATTCTTCTAGAATCCACCAGAATGATTATCAGGCATTATTATTCAGAAGAGAAGTTGTCGAGCCTATGCATATTTTCCGTAAATGTTCATGAGACCAGTAAACTTATATGGAAATAGAGTACAAGTTAAAACGTGCGGTCATTAACATTCGTCTTTTCATAAAATTCACTTGTGAGAATAGGTGAGGGGGGATAAGAGACGACTGGCTAAGCGGCATTGAGGCTTTGGTGGAGCCGTTCCGATGTGGAGGACAAAAGAGAGAGCTCACTTTTATTACAACACGAAGCTCATCGACCGTATCTTGTAACTTGCACTCCGCTCCCAAATAAACTTACTGGCCCGATTAACATTCATCGAAAGCATACACATGCTTGACAATTACTCTTCTGAATACTTTGAAGAGAATTCTCGCAACTCTATTACTGTTCGGCTGCGGTTGGTAACTCAGACACAGATAGTTGACTAATTGGGAACAGTGCTTTGATGATAAATATGATCCGAGAAATGGCGAATTGCACTTACATTCGTTATTTTGCACGGCCAAACAGTTATGTATATTGCTATTACCAGCAATACTTATGTACACAAATATTAACAGAAGTGGCTAATTCAGTTTTGGATAGTAGAATCTTCGAGTTAAAAGCCCAGGGATTCCGTAGTTCTGTTTATTTGATATCCACCGTACTTTACTTTTGCTCGAATTTTCGCCTTAGATATCTATTTCAGAGGCTATTCGATCAAGCTCTTCTTATGCAGCCGGCAAAAATAACAGAGTAAAACGCATGAGCATGGAATCTTTGGCAGTTAAAAGGAAACACTATATAGCCACAAAACGGTCAGTAGTGGAAGCAAACATTTGGCAAAGGTAGTTTAAGCAGTTTAAGCCTCAGCATTCTATTTTACTGAACCGGTGGTAATAGGGGTTTTATAGGTGCAGAAATAGGATAGGCAGTGAAAGAAATTGATAGAAATGTGAAACGGCAAAACGTGGTTAAGTTTGTTTACTGTGGCCGCTATATAGCCGCGGCTTAGTACGTGTAAATCGATAAAATACGCCAAACATAGCATTGAAATAAATAAGATGCATTTGAATAAACAGCCAAGCGTAAATTTGTGACAGATCATGAACCAGTGGGATGAACAGCTGAAATTCATATAATAATTATTAAAGTGTATTCCAGTATAACAGTATTCCAGCATAATTCTGCACCGCGCTGTCGATGCTGTACACATTAAGACCACTAAACGAATGTGGTTTACCATTAAACGACGACTTCTACAACTTTCCATCACTGCCAATCCTTATAGCCCACCCATAAAACTCCAAGTATCATCGGTCCCGTAGGATAGAATACTGGGGCTAGGGGTATGTGGGGTGGTCTCTAACATTTGAAAGCCAACCGCCATCACATAATCAAGGATGGCATAG